CTTAAAGGACCATTCACTCAAACCACAAGAGAAAACAAAAAAGAAATTTCAGTAGAAAGTAGCTCCAATAAAAACTGCCCCCATTTTGTTGGCATGGTTCATGGTACATGTGGGATAAAACCCTCCATGGCTGTAATGAACTCTGCTTAGCCTCTGCGTCGTCCATTACAACCTCCCTTACTTTAAGAGGTGCCCTCTGGAGCTTTTTTTCTTCTTGCACACGTAACATAAAAGTTATGTTTGCATTCAGGTGGGACCCACTCTTAGAAACATTGCTCCATGTTGCTACTAGTGGTCAAAAGCTCCGCAGGGTCCCTTTAATGCATGACCCTGCCAGGCAAAGGGAGAATCTTAATCCTGGTCTGTCTTTGCCAGTTCAGAACGAGATATTTTCCCACTTAAATCCATCCATGCGCTGTGTGTTAGGAGACAGCAAATGGAAAAGCTTAATACACTGGGTACTGGTGAAAAAGCCACAGTGTTATTGCAAGTGTCAACTGTTAGTTTATGTAAAAATGCTGCAGAATATTATTAAACTGTAAAAGCTTCTCTCCCTGTAAATAATAAACATGTTTTTCCCAGTAATGACAGTGAATTATCGCTCGCTGCCTGGTGTTGAGTCATTAGATTAATTATAGTTTATCAGCAGCTATCAACACCGTGACACCCTGATAAAGACATACAGAGGAAACAGGCTGGCTGGAAAATACATGTTTTTATTTACACTGAAAGGGAAACGTGTTTCTCATTATTTATTTTTTCTGTCGTTTGCATTCTGAACACTTTTACTTTGACACATTACTCTTCTTATTATTGCTCTGAAATTCAAATAGTTCTCAAACAGGCTTAATACGAGTGAATGTTTAGTCATTTTAGCAAAGAAAAAAACAGTAAAACATGGCCGTGTGTGCCTCTCTTCTTGCAGATAAAATACACTTTTTGCCAGTATGACAGTTGATTTTACTCTGCTACCTGGAGCTGAATGATTAGACTAATTATAGCTCATTATTATTGATAGTTTGCTTTGTCTACGTCCATCCTGGCCAACACCTTCTCCTGTTAAAGAGCTCGGTAAACCAGCAGAGCAGCACAAAGGCGGCATTCATTTTCCCTAATCACAACATGCTGCTCACAGGAAGATAACGGAGGACAAGAGCAGAATAGAGAGAACAAGAGGAAGGTGAAAAAATGAGAGAGGAAAAGAAAAGGAAGGGATATGAAGAGAGAGAGAGAGAGAGAGAGAGCAAGGTGAAGAAAGGAGAGTGAGGAAGTAGAACAGAAGAGGGGTAAGTAAAAGAAGGGGAGAGTGATCAGGAAGAGGAAGGGAATAAAGGAGGGGTTGAAGGCGTATGTGAGGAGGAGCGCTGGAGAGGAAGAAGGGGACCCGACCACACGAGCATTTATAATAGTGAAATGTCAGATCGAAATCAGTTCATTTCAGTGGAATCATCACAGGATTCGCTCATGGAGGTGAGCTAAATCCGCGGAGAGCTTTCGCGTTGGTCGATACCACTATATATTCAGCACTTCCTTAGAACTTCATAAAACTCTTCCAACTCCTTTTCAACACATCAGTTCAATCCTGCTTATTGGCATGAATGTAAAACAACAATATTGCCGAAGCTACAAATAAATTACAAAAGAACAAATCTTTTCGTACAGTTCATTAAATAAAGTAAATAAAACAGTAAAAGTGAGTGTTTGTGTGTGTGAAAAAAATAAAAATAAATATTAAAAATAAAAATGAATAAATAAAATAGTTTGTTTGTGTTGTGAATTCAATTCATATGTTCATCAAATAAATAAAATAAAAACAAAAAAACCCAAAAACAATAAAAGTGTGTGTGTGTGTTAAAATTTTTTAATAAAATATAAAAAATTAAAATAAATAAATAAAACAGTAAAAGTGAGTGTTTGTGAAAAAATAAATAAATAAAAATAAATTAAAATAAAAAAAATAAAAATAAAAATAGATAAATAAAATAGTAAGCATGTTTGTGTGTGTGAAAAATAAATAAATAAATATTAAAAAAAATAAAATAGTAATATGTGTGTTGTGAATTCAATTCATATGGTTCATCAAATAAATAAAATAAAATAAATAAAACAAAAACAATAAAAGTGTGTGAGTGTGTATTAAAAAATTTAAATAAACTATAAAAAATTAATATAAATAAATATTTATATTTATATTAATAGACAAAAAAATAATCAGTATCAAATGTGAAATTGAAAGAAAAACAAAAGTAACAAACAACGAAAATAATAATTATATATTATTCAATATATTTGGTCTAGTCTGAGTTTCCACTGGTTGTCCTCAGTTTGTGGCATGAGGAGAAATATTTTGCTGCAATGATTTGGCATTCTGGCATTTCTCCCAGTAAACAGGGGAGCTTCTGTGAGAAATGTTTGTAAAGCAGTTTATAAAAGTTTCTAACATATATCTAACCTGCGTGATGACGATAACTCAGTTGTAGGAATTCACTACCACATCGCAGCATAGATGGCCCCCCCCACTGGCGTATCCCGCCCGTGCTGTTGCAGAGCAGAGCGGGTCGCGCTGTAATGAACTGTAAGTTTATTAATTCTAAATGTGTCTCGTGTCCAAATTTAACAACACACCCGCCACGTGTGAGGTCGATTGGTTGGCCGGTTCTCGACATAATCCAAAGAGAAACACACCAGATACACACTGGCTACTACTACAGTGTTACCAGCTAGCTAGTTATCACCTGAGAGGTAGCTCGCCAACTAGCCCACAAGTTGTCACGACATCATTAAGCGTGAATTTGAAAAGCTATAATTTAATTACTATTATTAATTGTGCTTGTTAGTGTGAAGAATTTTGGAATATGAAGGACTTGACTGACCATTTAGGCAACCATGGGCGTTTGAAGGGTCGGAGATTGAGCTCCCTCACATGCACCACATTTCAAGTAGATTGTGGTTTATAAAGGGAACTTGCTTACAAGTGTGCGTACGCAGTCTGAATATTTTTGGCTTTTGAGCGCACGTACGCTTTTAGTGAGGTTTCTACACACAGTTTTATAAATGAGACCCCTGGACTTTGAGGCCACCATGAGCTCAAGAGTACAAAACAGGAAGATATGTTAGCTGTGTCGCATCATTCAGTTTGATATAGGAGCTAACGCGGCTCTGCAGGAGCAGCAAGTGCTCAATAAAAGAGGCGTGACGTTGAATAAACTTATTGTTCCCTACGCAAATCTTAGAGGAAAGAGTCTTTATTGTTATTCAGCACTTTAGCATACACTGTCGACCAATCATCTTTGCAATGTTGACCTTTCAGGTCAATCATGAGCCAGTAAATTATACAAATGCATCTCTTTTTGCTTCTCAACTTTCCTATTTCCTCAAAATATTGTGTAGTTAGCAACTAAGCTAGCTAGCTTGTTAAACCTGGCAGGTAGTAAGTTTGGCTGGTGGGCTGTTGTGGCCGTTATTTGTTATCCCCACCAGATTTTCCACAATTCTGCCTCTGGTTGTCTAGTATTCATTGCCTCGGTTGATTCGGTTGGTTAAGGTTATGTGTAGTTAGGGTTAGCCAATCAGCCAATCAGAGCCAGAAAAGAGCTGTCAAAGATCTGGTGGGGAAAAAATAATGCATAAGTTAATGGTTTGTCCACCAGCAGCAGTACCCTTAAGTAGTCCCTAACCATCCAGCACCACCTAATTCATGAGGAGCATGCAAGAAATAACGAGGTGAGGGTGGCAGAAAGGCAAGAAGAGGTCGAGAAACGAGAGTCAGGGAAGAGAGTGAGCGGTTCTTGAAAGAGAGAAAGGAGAGTAGAGATGGAGGGAAAGGAAGAAGAGAAAGGTGGATTGTGACAGGGTACAGTCCTCAGCCCTTCTCACCTCTTTTGAACCGCATGCCAGCCACGATTACTGAATTCCTGCTTCTTCACGGCTGATCACTGAGGTGATTTGCTGACATTCACTTGAACACATTCCTTCTGCTACAGTGTGCGTTTGTGTCTCTGCTTTCACCGCCTGCCCGTTCTCCCACTCCCTCTGTAGGCCTGTGAATATACAGTATGTGTGGGACGGAGCCAGGCTCGGGATTACATTTCAAATGGCCAAAGTGCTTGACGAGTGCTTGGTTTTTGGCTGCTTTAAGCGCACAGTTGGTTAGACGTACTGTCCCTGAAATAAAACATCAGGAATTTGATCCCTGAGAGCAGCCAATCTGTGTTCCACCACAACCCACACAGTCTGATTGATTGGAAATCTGCATGCAATCAAAACATAGTGTGAGAAAGTTTCTTAAAATGCAGATTGTCAGAGATTCAGCAAACATTTTGACAAACAAATGATCACTTTATTTATCCAGGGTGTACTCCAGCTCTTGTCCGATGCACGCTGGGATAGGCTCCACTTCACCAAAAAACCTGAACAGGATAAGAAGTTTAATGAACACGTACCTGAATATAAAAACATGGCCACTTCGTGTACATTTTAAGACCTAAGTATTTCACCAAACATGTACGTAATGTGATTGTGAAATGTGACAAATCAAACGCAGTATGGCTAAAGTGCTTATATCAAATCATGACAATTAACATCAGCTTTTTAGTGTTCTTCTCTTGCTGTTATCCATTTTTAGCTATGCTGGTAGATGTCACTCGGTCTGTTGCTCCACCACTGTGGTCCAGACTGAAACGTCTGAGCAACTATTTGAAGGGTTATTATTATTATTATTAAGGAGCAACTATTTAAAGGACAATTGGTTCAGATAGTCATGACCCTTAGAGGATAAATCCTACTGACTCTGGTGAGCCGCTGACTTTTCCTTTAGCATCACCAAAAGCTCAAAGTTACCTTGTGTAATAGTTCAGTGTCTCATAGATGGATTGGCATTAACTTCTATACACACATGGATCCTGCTGTCTCTGGTAATCCCTTAAAAGGAATCTTTGCGATTCTGGACAAAGATTGTTGATATTTAAACTCAACCCAAACAAACTCACCTCTCCCTTCAGTGCTCCTTCCGAAGCGCCGCAGAAGTGTCCCTGATGAAATAACATTTTGGCAGTATCTACGGCGCCTGCTGGGCCTGGGTAAGTTAGCCTTAAAAAGACATCATGTTTTTGCAGTTCTGTAGAAAGTGCTGAGAACCAGTCTGGCAATATTTAAATACAGAATACATTGAAGCAACATATATACGTATCTAAGCCAACGCCTAAGTCATATTATAATATGATAAAGAATGAATGACCCTAACGTGCATAACCAAGTGAAAAAAACTAGCTAGAGATATTTTAAATAGTTTTCACAACAACACAGTGACTGAGAACAGGACGATAAGTTTGTATCAGAAGCTAAGCTGGTCATAAAACCGTTTGCAAACAGACAGCACATGACTGATGTAACTACTCCTTATCTCGGTTGTGGGTTAGACTACTGCTGCTGCAAACCTAACCAGTTGGGCTCAGCCATCACAAAAGTTAGCAAACTCACCGATCGAGCAGAAACACAGCAAACTTTGGTCGGTTTCTCCAGCTTAGAAATGCTGCACCGATGTTGACACGGTGCTTCACCCTGGCCTTGTCATATAACTTCTTTTTTTCTTTACTTTACTTAATAATAATAATAATAATTAGGACCATGCGATGGACTGGCGACCTGTCCAGGGTGTACCCTGCCTTGCACCCGATGTCAGCTGGGATTGGCTCCAGCCCCCCCTGTACGCAGGATAAGCGGTTGACGATGGACGGATGGAAGGATGGAAGGATGGATAGTTAGGGCAATGATTAAAATTTTTAATCGCGATTAATCGCATGATTTTCTTGCGATTAATCGCAATTGTCAGTAAGGTTGGGACGATGGCATGGGGGGGTTGGTGCGTGTGTTCACTCGCACAGACTTCACTCGGTTAAAAACTTGACCTGGTAACGTTAAAGCAACATTGAACACAGAGTGCAGATGTTGGTTTCGGCTGTTTGAGTTGTTTGACAGGCTGCGTCATTAACAAGCGAGCGGCTCACCTGCTGCCGTGATAACAGATCTCGGGTGGAAAAATATATATTGCTGTGCATGGCAGAGGTCGCACGCCTCTGGAGTAACTAGGGGTTAATTGTCTTGCTAGGGACGCATTGGTAGATATCTGGGTGGGAATCGAACCCAGATCTCCCACACCAAAGGCATGTGTCTAATCCACTGTTACCTGTTGCTGATTGGCTGGCCATGTTTCCATCTAATTGTCAAGCGACTTTTTAGCGAACTTTTAAAATGCCACAAAAAAGAGAGCAAAAAGAAAATGCGAATTAGGCATGTTTCCATCAGCTGGTTTGGAGCGAATAAACCGGGCTACGCAAAGTGTAGTTTTGTCAGAAGTTGATGTTATGCATGGCTGTAATAAACAAAAGTAGGCTAGAGGTTGCAAATCAGAAACAAAACCATTCGCATGGACCGAAAGACCGTGGATCTGATAAAAATGGAGAGAGGTGGAAAATCTTTGGGCATGTGAGGTAGATGTTCAACATCAGAACTCATTCTGCAACAAAAAGAGAACTTATTCGGCAAAGGTGTTTTCATCTTAGCCCATTAACTCTTTTTGAAAAAAGACAAAAACCACTTCGAGCAAGCAAGCGGAAATAGTTTTTGCCATTTTTTATTTTCTGGCAAAACTAATGCCATTCCCATTCTGTGCTCAGTAGCAACTTTTAGCACGCTAATATGCTAAACTAAGATGGTGAACACGGTAACAATTATACTTGCTTGACCTCAGCATACTAGCATAGTTATTGACGTCATCATTGTCACTGACGTTAGCATTTAGCTCCCTGAGTCAATAGCATAGCTATGGACTCTTAGCCACATTAACATCTTGACTCCATGTTCTCTGTAATATCAAATATTTTCATCTGGCCTGAATCAAAAAATGCTATTTTGGAGTAAAAGAAAATCTACCATGGTTCCAGACGTTTTAAAAAGCTGCCCACATCTCTGGGCTGTCTCTGATTATCAGGCTATATTTTCATTCAGTTAAACAATGTGAGGGTTTGATTTGATGAGTCATACATGTAAGTATCCAGCAATTTATAAATACAACGTAAAATTAACCAACTGACATCAAATATTTAATTGAATTTTGTGTGCTGCTGCATCACTCCCAGAGCTGTGTCTGAAGGCACTGAAATGAATGTCAGTGTATTAAAATGACTGAGTGTGAATACATTTCTTGCTAACATGTCCCAAAAGTAAAACCACGTCCCCTAATCATTTTTAACTGATTAACCTTTTTGTCTTTTAATCTTCCCTCCCCTCCCCAAAGGTGTCTCCCCATCCAGCACACCAGTCCCACTCACTGTCAGCTGTAACCCCTCTGGATTGGGCTGCCCAGGTAGGAAAAATAAACACACGAGGGCTGAAGACACTGAGAGACATTTGGGTTAAATCTAATTTCTAATCTGGTTTTACACTGAAATATTTAAGCTAGATGTCTATGGTAACTTTCACACCGGTTATAATATAGATACATACCAATCTTATAAACACCACATCATACTCACTGGGAGCAGTGGGTTGGTAGAAACTTCTTTTATTTCTTTTCTTCTTGCAGAGGTTTCCCTTCTCACACGTATACCTCATCCATCTGCCATCAGTACTGCAGACTGTTTTCTTGAACAACTTCCCCCAAAACTCAGTTGTCTGTAAACCCTACCTACCATTTCTTGCAGCTTCTGGTAGTTTTGTTGTTCAGTTTAGTTCATCGCTTGCATGACACGGTTTGTTTCAAATATCTTCTACAACAGTGGTTCTCAGACTGGACCCCATTTGATAAGATTTCGTCCGAGGGTCGCTCATCTGATAGGATTTTTGCTTTTAGATGTTTTGTTACAGAAAGTGTATGAAACCCGTAACCAAAATACCTCACACGTCATTGTGTTACTTATAAATGGAATTATAGTGAAAATAAATTGTTCCCCTTTTTGCTGGCGAGTCTCTGGAGACCTCTCAAGGATCCCTGGGGAACCACTGTTCTACAATACAGCTGCATCAACACAGTCTAAAGCTCATTTCACGTCCATGCGTTCTTTCCTTAACCTCTGAGCCATGCTTTTTTCAGCATAAAACTTTGAGTTGAAGCTGTTATCCAAAGAACCTTTTGGTACCACGAGTGCCCACATTATTATCATAGGCGACCCGCGTGGGAATGAACCCTGGCAGTGTTCATAGCTTGAATTATTCACTGAAGTAAAGAATGAAACCCCTAACCCACTGCCAAGAATGATGTATATAACTGATGTTTTCCTCCACGACTACATACATATTTAATACAGATGAACCCAGTGGGAATCAAACTCTCAACCTTGGCAGCATCACTTCCTCACACTTGCCATTAAGATTCACAGAATGATGGATTTTCCTTTCTTAAGTTCCACTACCCCCGAGGTTTCCCAGCCCCCCCCAAAGCTGCTTAACCCAAACTTCTAGACGGGTTGTTAAGAGAAACTCTCAAACCCCCCACAGAACCTCCACGTTTCCCAAAGCCCCAGACATGTTCTTGCTCCCAAACTGTCCCAGAGATTTAATGTCTTAGTTTGAAGAGAAAAGGAGACGAAAAAGGCAAAATCTAAGAAGATGAGAGACAAGATTGAAAAGAGAAAGAAGGCAAAAAAGGAGAAGGTGAGGAGAGTGGACGATAGAATAAAATGAGTGAATAAAATAAGTGAATTGACTTAATTAATGGGAGCAGGGTGTCACAGAGATCTGATGTGTTTGTCTGGCGCGATTTTTCATTTCTTCAGTTGAGCAGAAGCTTGTGTGACCTTTAAGTCACATGCTTCCTGTACATCTGTTTCCATTGACCTTTGTCACGATTGTTTTTAATCGATACCCCAGCCAAGCTTTAAACCTTTGTGGACATTTTGACTTTTATTTGGATTTCTGGCGTTTTCCCTGAGGTTTCTTTATGCGCAAATTGAAAATGATCATTAAAACAGGACGGCAAGGAACTTATAGACTTTCTTATCCGAGTCAAGGTTCTAAGGCCACTGGGTGTCATATGTTGCACAGATTGCAAAGCTCTTTGACTTGATTGATGATTTTGGGCTCTATAAATGAAACTGACTTGGCTTGAGAAGAGAAGAAGTCAAACAAAAACAGGAATCTTAATCGTTGAAATGAGCAAAATCTTGAAAAGGAAACAGATGCTCCACTCTGCGTGTTCTTACCTAACCCTTCCTCACAAGTTCAAATGTCTGCAGATGAGGGGAAAAGAGGACAAAGTTTGCAATTCTCTCCAAACAATGTGGAAAAGAATCTCTTGCTCTGTTAATGGTATCGTACTTTAATGGTCCCTCTGTGTCCTGAGAGGAACATATCTGAAGGAACCAGAAAATGTTTTAAAGGGTGCTGTACAGCTGCAGCACCGAGCCCCTTACTTCCCGGCCAAAGCCATTAGAGCTGGAATACTGTCCATACACAGATCATGGTTTAAAGAAAATCTCACTCTAGCCAATCTTTGCTCCAGGAGGTCACGTGATTTGGAACTTGAACTTGAACAGTAGCTGGGGGCCAGCTGACGACGTGACCCAACCCGGCTCCCTAAATGTCAGTTCTCACACTATCCTGTTCTATGGAGGCCTCAGAGAGACATTTTTCTAAAGGTCAGTTTTTGTGGGATTGTGCTCACGAGAGGAAAGGAGTCGAACCAATTAAGCTACAGTTTGTGTTCCAGAATATCAACGACTACGGCAGCCATGGAAGGTCAGCAGGCCATGGGAGAGACACTCACAGGGTTATACATTAAGACCACGAACTAGATTGTTCTACAGAGTGCGAGGTCATCTAAAGACCAGCACTCCAGGAGCTGGGTAGGAAGTCAGTGGCATGTATTTTGATTGAATGCCAGGCTTTGTAGTTCCTGTGCCACCAGGATACCTTAATCTCAGTGAGAACAGACGCTTCCGCAAACAAAGCTTTCGTCAAGGTTGAACCTTTCAGGAAAATGCAGCTCTCTTTGAGGAGGAAGCTGTAAGTGGATAAAATCAAACAGAACCACAAGAAAGATAATAGAATTTTGTCATTTACCTACTTTCTGGGATAAATTGGTATGACTACTATATGCCAATAAATATTACATTTGTTTATGTTCTCCTGGAACAGGCTGTTTGTGGGATCATTATTTATCAGTTGCTCCCCTGGCCTGCTCTCTGTCCCCCATATCAAGACCAAATAACAGCAGAATAAAAGTCTCAAAATACACGTTTGATAGTGGATATCATGTTGCGACATCCCACTGATGGGCAGTTGAGATTGTCTTGTCCAAATTGCATCACCTCACTATACCTTCGGTCTAACTACAAAATTCAGCTCAAGACTGTTCTCCATTCACAATTATTAGCCTCTGGCAGCACATGTTGGTTAACACGTTGTATTCATTCCGCCATAAAAAGACATTTTCTCAATGCTTCTACCTTTTACAGAATGCAGCAGGAAGAAATATACCCGGTAATAGCAACCCAACTCAGGAATCACCTTGATTGTTGGGTTCTTGTCCACAATGACCTTATTGAAGGATGAGCAACAGTATGTCTTTCCTCATAACCTGTTATGCCTCTAAACACAACCTTAAAGGTCCCGTCATGAAACCTTTGAACATGGCAACTGTAAATATAGAAGTTAGGCCATCCAAGGTGTGTGCAAAGAAGTCCTAAATCAAAGGCAAGTGCTGTAACCTATGTTAAATGTTCCATGACAGACATTGTGCCTATCATCTGTAAAGCTCGAGACACTTTTCCCCTGTGTGTTGTTGATCAGCTCCCGTCCTGTTGGGATTAATTTCGCAGCACTGTTGCCATTTTGTTTGACGTCCTCTGTATTCGTCTTTAATGATGAATTTTTGCAACTGGGAAACAACAGCGAAAATACTGAAAGCAGAAACCTGCAGCAACGTATTTCTACTGTAAACCCCTACTTTCTACACTGAAGATGATCATGCAGCTTCACAACCATTCATCATCCTCTGCATCTTTCTCTCTCTCTCTCTCTCTCTCTCTCTCTCACACTCTCTCTCATCCCAACCCCTTGTCACTACCGCCAGCCACTTCCTCTCCCACCGCTTCCTCCACTGACTCCACTAACAACATCAATGCTACTAATGCCAGCACCTACGGTAAGCAACCCTCATCCTCGCCCTCCTTCTTCCCTTCTCCCTCCTCTTCATCCATACCTTCTTATTCCTTTCTTCCTTATGCCTTCCCTTTTCACTCTAGCACTTTCCTTTTGCTGTTTGATCACCCTCTTATTCCTCCCCCTACTCTAGTTTTTAAGCCTCCCTGTACCCCTCTTTTAAAATGCTCATTTTTGTTTTTCAGCTGCTGTGCTGATTGTCTTTGATGGTTTATCTCTTGATTTTTGTTAATAGCAACTAACGCCAAAACGGCCTGTTTAGTCCCCTTCTCTTCTGCCTCATCTGTAAATTTAGGATAAACTTTGGGGCTCGTCTGAGATACAAAAGGAAGACTTCTTTTCGAAGAAGTCATTTGCAATTCATTACCAAAAATCAATTAGCCCTAATGGGTTTTTTGAACAGGCTCCTCTCATAAAAATCAGAACCCTCTTAAGTTTGACCTTTCAGTGACCCATGAAAAGTTGCCCGGAGCCATTTTACTTTTCATGTTCCTCTGAAAAGCAAAAGCGTCTATTATTCATTTGTTCACTCTATTATTCATCATTTACCTGGGAGGAGATTCAGCTAATTCTGTTCTGATGAATGTGTTTGACTCAGGACGACTGAGATTAGATAAATATTATCTACTACTCCATTAAAAAAATTAGTTCATCCAATCTTTTCATTACTTGATTAACCTTTGTCATTCTTTTTCCATCTGAGAAGTTGTAGTGGTGAATGAATGTTCCCAGGAAGTTATGAAAATCAGCTCTTGTTCTTTGATTAGTGTAATATGGATTTTCTTTTGTTCTAACAAAGACAGTGCAGTTCAACCGAAGCAGGAAATACCGTTAACACAAAGTTTAGCCAAAAGTTTATGCTTGTTGTAAGCAACAAAATTTGCACCGTTAGGCGTTTCTGATCTGCACATGGCAGAATTAAAACCATTTTATGTGTGGTCCCTCTCGTTCTTCTGTTTCCTTTAATTTGTCATCTCCAGTTCTCTCTACCATCACTCCATCTACATCTACATCCACCATATCTACCACTAGCATGCCACTAACCCCAACCATCAGTACCACCACCACCACCAGCACAACCAGCTCCTCCTCCTCTGGTAAGGCTCCATCTGCTTCGCTGCTTTGTTGTTTGCCATCAGCATCGTTAGACCTCCCATTCAAATAAGAACAAAAAACGTAATGTAACGAATGTTTCTCTCCTAAATTTTAAATATTCAGGGTACAAAATCATTTGCAACATACTTAAGACCAGAAACAGTTCTGGATCCAAGCCCTGAAAACAGAAAACCTCTAACCAAATAGACGCATTGACTCCTAGATGCTTTTGGGAAACCCAGTTTGTGCACCAAATATCAAAAGGCTTACCCTGATCCAGATTTATTTTTCTCTGAATCAGGAAAGACTTTGGAGATTGGCCCTGCAACCAAACAGAATAAGAGCTTTTCCCATTACCCCAGTGTGGTTGTGTGTTTTTGTTACTGACATGCCAAATTATTGTGCTAATCAGTTGTGCCTGCCACTACCATCACCATCACCGCCAGCGCTGCTACCCCTGCATCTCATGCCACTAACGTTGCTTCTGCCAGCAGCACGGCTCATGGTAAGGTAGCTGACCCTATGTAAATATTGTCACTAAGCTAACTAGCTGATTTTGTCCGGTTCTGTTATTGATAACTTCAAATCATTGTGTTTACTTTGTTTTTGCTTCCTCATTTGTATTTCTCCAAAAGACTGGAGGTTAGTTTTAAGCTAGCGTTTCACAGCTGGCCTCTGTCCCACTAGACTCTGATGATAAGCAAGAGAAGCGTGCTCACTGTTTTCTCACAAGTGGTTTCTTTCATCTGTCGTTATGATATGATATAAGGTTTTCTGTTAAATGTGAATTGCTACTATGATATGTGGTGATTAGGATAGGATTATTTCATTATTTTAACTAAGATCAAACATGATTCAACAGCTGCACGCACTCACCTCATGTGGGAGTTGCTGTTTTTTCTTTCTTGTAAGAACCAAGTCAACAACTGGGAAACTCTTAAAGCGCCGAAGTAGATGCCTGAATAAGCAAATTAACTTGTGCAATGTCTTTTTTTCAGGTCCTTAAATGCACATTTTGTGGTCATAGTCCTGTATTATCAATGCACAGAAGGATTTTTTTTTACTCTCACAGCCAACTCAGCAGTTTTACTACCATACATTTTTGTTGGTTGATGACTGTTACGCCAGGCCTAATGGAAACCTGAGTGCAACATAAGAATGTCTCCCCCCTTTTTCCCACTCCATGGACTGACCAATGCCCCAACTGATGCATCCAAATTTATTTACCAATCTGGGGAACATAGACGCACAGCTCAGCCAAAACAACAAACAAAACATCTCATATCATTTCCTACAAAAGAATTACAGGCTTTAATAAGGGATTTCTTTTCTTCTATCACTACCCACATGATGTGAGCCTGAAGTTATCAAGGCTAACAAGATAATCATTGTTTCATCTTCATTAAAATAATGATGTACTCACATTCTGTCCCATAATATAGTAGGTATGGACAGAAAATTGTGATCATCATGCTTCAGACAAAAGATAAATGAAAGAAACCAAATGTGTGGAAGTGTAATTGAGAAATGAAATGAATGAATGAATGAATGGCAGAACTTCCAGTTCTTTACTAGTATGCATAATAACTACCTTCTTCATTATCTACATCATCACTGCTATCATTAACATCATCTTATTGTGTTATTTTGTCATTTGTATTAGCGTATTTAAACTGTATGGTTTCACATTTTGTCCTGTGTTTATTACTGCAAGCCTGTACACATATAAAGCATTTTCTCTTAATTATGTTTAGGGCTATAGTAAGACCTGTGAAATTACATTTAAAACACACACTGAAGGCCTCTATTGAAGTCAGTGCTATTAAACTTACTGACATAAACTGTAGCTGTCAATAAAATTCTTGAAGGTGAGGAAGAATACAGCAGACGTGTATTCATCTTATTATATAAGATGAAGGACTTTTATTTGAGTGTATTGAAAATGTGTATCCTTGTGCGTGTGTGTGTGTGTGTGTGTGCAGAAGTTTAAAAAAGCTTTTAATCGACATCCATACCTTGGACTGAATGGCGCTCCACAGATACAGTGTGAAGTGCTTTTTTGCATTGATTCATACAGGGATTCCTGTTTACCTCTTCAGTCACAATCAATCCTCTCACCAATGACAGCATTACTATGTCCGCTTCATACATTTAATTTTCTTGTCACTTGTCAGTGAAATGAAAGATGCATGTCCTTGTTCCTGTGGCAGAATGCTGACGAAAGATTGCTTTAATCAAGAAAGTAAGCGGTGCTTTAACAAATCATAACATGCTGGTTTCTTCCAGTTTTTCCAGTTGTAATTATTCTAAATAACTTAAAAAGATTCACGTCCAGTTGTCTGCAATGTTTTTAAGAGGAAGAGGAAGTCGGAGAGATAATAGGAAGGACAGTGAAGGGATAGGATTACTGTAACAGGTTGTGTTCATATTGAGTTATACATAAGGCCCTAGTTAACCTAGAGGTAATGATCAAGCCTCTGCTTAAGAGGATGTTGGTTTGACCACTCCATACCTTACCCCAGTACCTAACCATAGCGTAACCTGAGCCTAATGCTGGCCTTTGTGCTAAAACTACATCTTAACTCTCAAATGTTAACCTTGTGGGGACCAGACCTTTGTCTCCTGGTGGTTGTTGTCTCCTCAATGTAGCTTTGTTTTTAGGGAGACGTCTCCACAATGTGGCTGACTTTCCACATTGAAGCTGTGTTTGAGTTTGTTATCCCAACAGTGTAGCTGTGTTTTTCTTTTGATATGACAACCTTCCCCCAGATTGGTGCAAACTCTATGTACAGCATTCTTCTATTAAGCTGACTGATATTCTGTGATTGTTTACTTCCCCTGTAGCTCCACAGACAACCAGCAGCACGTCAACTGTTTCATCTGCTACCACTAACCAACCAGCTACTAACCCCACAGCGCATGGTAAGAGCAACAGAGAGTGAAGCCTCTGCTAAGACTGGCAAGCTTTACATACAAAACACTAATAAATCTGGGTGGCATAAGTGCTGGTAGGTCCAAAAAACATATAGGATTGGACTCTGGACCATCAGTGTTTAAGGGGTCTGAGTCATTAAACTCTAATGTCATACAAAATTGTTTCCAAATAGGCTGCATACATAATTTAACTGCATGCTTATGACTGGTATTCAATGAGTCAACTGATTCATGGACTTGCTACTAAGAATATCCAAGTTAGGTTAAGAAGCCCGGCTTAACAAAATTTCTCTTAAAATATCATAATGCTTAAACTTGAGCCTTTTGACATCTCTGTAAACGTATTTAGTCTATTTTTATACCACAGCAGCATGAATACTACTTCTAACACAATGATATATTTGACCTGTGTGATATACCTCTTGTGATTGAAAAGGTGTCTGATCACGTTTTGAATTTCTTTGATTTAAAAAAACACCTTTAGATCTTTTAGCATTCTGCTGATAATTTACATTTCTAAAACACTCACCCTACTGCCTCCAAAATGCGCAGCACTAAGAATGCTTCTTACTCCTCCTGTCTTATTCCATCTTTATTCCATCTTCTCCTCTTTTCTCCTCTTGTTTCCTGTGGTTTCGACTCCTCTGCTGCTTCTAGTAACTACTAACCGACCAACCGTGATCAATCTCATAAATAAAGAAATGTTGCTATCATTGTTTTAAGCTTTCATTTATCCAGCTAACAACTGCTAACAACTGAATCCATAAGACAGTCTAGCCTAATCATAGAAAAACTTGTTTTCCACTTTTCATGCTTTGAGCCTTTCTTGCTCTTTCTGTTCCTGTAATTATATATTTTCTCTGATAAGCAAAGAAAAATAGGAACATAATTGGAATGAAAGTACAGTTTTCTTATTCTTACACTTGTCGTGAGTAAAGGAAATTGGAGATGGTCATCTGATGTAAATGTGTCAGGTGGTTCTGTTTATTCTACTGCTTTGAGCTTTTGCTGTTTATTACCTTTATTTTATCTGTACCCTGCTTTTTCACCAAAACACCGTCTGGTTTGATTTGCCGTGCCCCGGTGACAGCGGAGGAGTCTCCAACCAAAGCCAGCGCTGCGCCTGCTGTTGTAGTTACACTTCAGCGGACTGAACCCCTGGCGTCCCGGTCCAAGCCTCTGGCCGCTGGTCCAGTAGCTCACAATAGAAGACCCAGGAATGTTTTTGGATTACCTGTCGTAGGATCCCCTGTTTCTCACGCAGACGGACCTCCAGCTCCTCCAGCCACCGTAATCAGACACACTAGGCCTGCTTTCATTCCCAATCCCCCTGGAAGAGCCTTTCATCGTAGGTCCCTTGCATCCAGTCCGTTGAGTCCTCCGACCCAAGCCCCTAGTCTCCCTGCATCTAAATCAAGACTCTTAGCTCCCATCCCAGGTCCCCCATCTCCACCCGAACCCTCTCACCCTAGACCTGCAGCCTCCCTCCCCAGGCCTCCAGGCCATCGCAGCTCCAAGGCCTCCCTGGGGTTCATCTCCACCCCTTTGATCTGGCAGGGGAGGAAGAGGCCGACTGGAGGAAGACGTCCAGCGGCCACCAGAGCTTCACCCAGGCCCATGGCTCACATCACGAAACCCGCTGCACAGCCGACAGAACTCAAATCCACAGCCAGGCCTACATACACAACACAAACAAGTGCATTTAAACACACGGCTGGGTACACGCATGCACCTGGGTTGAAAAATGCAACACACATGCTGGGGTCTGCTCGCTTACGTTCATCAGCTCAACCTACATCACGACCAAACTTTTCGCACCAACCAGTCACCAACAAGGAGACCCCTACAACCACTCAAGACCCAAAACCACCTCCTGAATCAGGGGTTTCAGTCTCGTCTCAGGGGTCATCTCCATTGCAACATAGAGATGAGGTATTAGATACAAAGGAATCTTCCTCGGTGGTGGGGGCAGCACCCCTGGCATCCTCATCATCATCCTTGTTGTCGTCATCGTCAGCGCTTAGTAACAGAAAGAACAAACCTTTAGCGCCACAGTGGTCGCTGCTGAGCACGAGCGGGGGGGGGAACCAAACAGTTTCCAGGCGTAACTGGACAGACCCTCTGGAACCGCTGGGCGATGAGCACTCGTCAGGGTCCGAGCCGTTTGTGTATGATTTGACCGAGCTCACGGAGCAGGCCGGCGCTTTTAGCTTGTATGAGTTAGATGCTGCCTACTCCTCGGATGAACCCGCCACCATCCCTCCAACGCTCATCGGCCCTGACACCAAAAACCGACAATCATTCAACACGTCAGACCCTCGAGATGCGTTTATACCTGTCACGCGTCCTCTAACTGCCTCTGAGGGAGGAAGTGAAGTGCTCGCCCAAACAGATATTCATGATGATTTGGAAACCCTAGCGAGTGACTTAGCAGCAGACAGCAAGCTTTCTCTAAACCACTCACGAGATAGACTGGTGCCAGAAGCAGATACATTCATCAGCAAGTCTCAAACTGTTACTCCAACTTTTTCCCAGACTTTGACAGAAGCTCAGACTCAACACTGGCTTCTAAACAACACTAGTTCAAGTGGACAAAAGCAAGAGGAAATTTCCTACAAACAAGCTGTCACTCAACAACCGAAAACCTTTCAACCAACGCTGCCTCTCCCTGCCCCCTCCCTTTCATCCCTTCTCCTCATACAGCCAACACCTTCTCTGCCTATGGTACAGCTGAGCTCCTCTCCTTTCCCCAAGCAGATATTTTCTTCTTCAGAGCCACAGAAGGAAGACATGGCCCTCATATCGTATTCATCGCTTTCTCCAACCCCCCTGGACAGTGTATCTGAATCAGACATGACTGGAAGTGATGCCGACCTTGCAGTGGCCAGAAGTAGACTGATTAATAATTTATATATAAGTACAGCCATATCTCCTATCGCCTCTGCTTCTCCAGCTTTCCCCAAAACTTCCCCTTCTAACATTTTTGCATTCCCTCTTGACATCCGTCACCACTCCTCATCTCGCCTGCAACCACTTATCCCCCCATCCCCTTCACTTCCCTTTTTGTCAGCGTCCACTCTTTTCACGTCCTCTCATGCCATCCCTCTGTCTTCTTCATCATCTTTCTCCCCCGTTGCTCTTACGTTACAAATTCCAACCTCGCCTCCTCTCTACTCTTCTAACACTCTTCTCTCATCCTCACCTCCCCGCTGGTCCACCGCCGTTCCTCTTCCACCCGCTGTTGATTCTCAGCAGCCCTTCCTCTTCCTACCCTCCTCTTCCCAGCAGGCCAAACGAAGGCTTTCAGAAACAGAGGGTGTTGGTGAATCTTCTCACGTTCCAGAGTCAGATGGAGTTAGCGGGAACATTCAGCCTTCTGTGTTGTCATCTCTGTCTCTGACCTCGGACCGTAACATCGATTTTGTGGTTGACACAGCATCCACGCTGTCACTTCCTCTCTTTTCTGAAGCCCAAACTGAATCTCAGATGCCAGTTGTTGACAGTGCGTTGCTCCCTGAATATCCCTCGCTCTCTGCTGAAGAGTCCTCTAATAATACACCAAAGCCTTTCAGAAGTCGGTTGCCCTACTCCGAGGGTAATCAGCTGCTCGGTACCCAGTCAGATCAGCTCCTCCGTTCATTAGATCTTTTTTTAGACTCTTCCTTCAGTCAAATTCGACCAACTCCCTCAGGATTATCCATGGAGAATTTGATATCCAGTACTGCAGTATCCGAGCGGATTGACCCTGAGTTGGGTTCGTCAGTGGTTTTGTGGCCTTCTCCTCATGCAGCCTCAGTCAGCCAGCTCTTGGTTCAATCTGATCAGAGAGATTTGAGCGACACACATACTCTGCCACACGAGTCACATCAAGTGCATCAGTCTGCCACTGGCTTTACATCACTGCCGACAGCTGGCATTTGGGCCTCTGAACACACTCCAGCTCTGCTCCAGCCAAATACTGATAGAACGCAATGTTTGCTCTCTGCTTCTTTGTCTGCTGTTTCTTCTTTGTCTTCAAATCCTGTCCTTTCAACTTCCAGTCCCCTTTCCCATCACCCTGACAGCCTGTCACTCACTGTATCTTCTGAGACTCTTCCTGCTGCAGCTGTGATGCAAGCTGCTAGGATGACAGAACCGATGTTCGGAGAGGACACCGCGGTGTCGTCGTCCTCCTCATCCTCCCTTAATCCTGTGGCTGAGAACTCTCCTCTCTCGGCTCAGACATCTGCATCTGGGTCACAAGGCAGACATACTTCCAGTCTGCCCTTTAGCAGAGATCCATGGAGCCTGCAGCATACAATCTCCCATTTACACACTGACAAACAGGTGAACACAAACACCACCGCTGGTGCTCACTTTAACTCCACCGGCTCTCAGGCACTCGCTGGCTATGACGATGCGTTTAATCACCCCACTTCCCTTTTGTTGAATCCATCTGTCATGGCAACGATCCAAACGCTGGCACTCTACATCAGCCCAAGTGCACAGCTTAGCGCTGCAGCCCCGCAGCACGCTTCAGGGCTGGATTATACGCACCACTCAGGCTTGACACAAACTAACACTGAACACCGCGGCCGTCTGATTCACACCCACGGTTCAGTACACGCACAGATGCACACACATTTGGTCGCTCAGGCACATGTGAGCGAGTTTTTGGGTTCAAGTGAGAAACTAAACTTAAATCAGAGGCCAGGGCAAGACACACAAAATGCAGAGGCACATGTTGATGTTGGGGGGGTGCAGCAGCATTCATCCCGCTTTATTTCCTTGGCCCTTACTCCCCCACTGCTTTCGCCCTCCATTTCGCCTTCTCTTTCTCTTTCAGCAACCCCCACACCTCCTTTTCCCTCTCTTCAACTTTCTCCCATCTATCCTGCAATCCCTCCCCACATAACTGTCTCCTCCCTTCCCCTCTCATCTTTCATCACCCCTTCTCTCTCTCCTCTCCTCCCCAGCTGGGTGGCATTGCCAACAGCGTCTGCCAGCATGGAAGAGGCAGATATTGCGTCCTTGTCACCCAGCTGGCTGACTGCTGAATTCCAGCAGCCCACAACAAGCCAGACCCCCTTGGAAAACCATTTACAGACCTTCCAAAGATCCACCACATACTCTGTGAGCCAGTCAATCCGGCAGTTCATCACAGTCATCCAATCACTTCCTCTTGACCAAGCTTCTGCACTCCCTGATGATAAATTGAAATTCAGCCGCTCAAAAACCCGTGACGAGGACGATGTTTTGCCGCAGACTGCAAACAACTCGCAAACAGCAGATGCTTCTAGGTTTGTCGATGGTTCAGTATCATCACCAGAGGCATCAAGAAATCTCACTGCAGCTGGGAAACTGTCACATCTCTCTGCTTTTTTTGACCCTGCGGATGTTGTTCCAAAATTACATATTGCGGATGAACACACCTCTGTTGAAGGACTGGCTTCTACAGCAGTGAACATCAATGACAATGTTACTCTGGATGTAAAGTTAAATGCTCCAATAGGCCTCCAGCCTAATGAAAGTCTTAACCCAGAAGCTGCCATGAACTCTCAAACATTTCCTGTTGAAATGCAAACTACCTCTCCCTGCCCCACTTCTAAACCCAGTTATCGGCCTAGCTCTGCAGTAGCAACACAACCCACTGGTGCTCCAGTTATTCCCAACCCCCTGCCCTCTTCTGGCCTTAATATTGCCTCTTCCACGCCAGCCCCCAGATCTCCAACTGGTTCCTCTAACGATGCTCCAGGTCAAGGCTTCATTTCTGGGTTAGAGGGTCTCCTACCTCCTCGGACTGATAACCACACCGCAAACACAGCGGGCCTCAAATATATCTTCATGTCAAATGCAACCACTGTCGAAAACTCCACTTCAGTGCCAATTGAAATGACAAACACCACAAATGCTACAACTGTGACAGAAAATGGAAGTACAGAAGCATCTCTGGGGAAGATGACAGGCAGCAAACCAATGCCAGATCTCAGTGTGAATACAAGCACATCAATTTTAACTATTTCAAGTTCAAATTCAAGTCCAAGTGTGTCGAATCACAGTCAGAATCAGAGCTCAGGAGTATTTGTGAACAATGACAAAGATGTCCACCTTTCCCCCACGCTACCTGTGGCCGTCAGTGCTCACCGTTTTTTAACCACAAAGAACTCCTCACGAGCGACTCCATTTAAAGCAGGCAGTGTGTCAGACAGCAGTGGAGGGAGTAGCAGCATCAAAAAGTCCACGGTGCGCCCTACGCCCGTGGTTTCAGCAGCCAGGACTGCGGTGCCATGCCAATGTAAACATCGCTTTCATTTTACATGTCTGTGTGGACTGTCATCAGGGAACAGTATGTCACGCAGTAACAACACTGTAGATGTAGAGAATAATAAAACAATCAACTGTACTGACAGTAGCATGTACTGTAAAAAAAAATCCATCATAGTATCTTGTATCTAGTCTTAAAGTCGATTTATTTAAAACAGGTGAAAGACTGTTAACCTAAGAAAATGTATTTAATCAGTTGAGATATACTTGCATATTGCAATATAAGCTATATGGCCAAAAGTATATGGGCACGCCTGCCCACATACTGTATTGTTCTTTTGGTGCACGTTTGTTTTTCCTTTAGTTCCAGTGAAGTGGAATCTTAATGCTACAGGATACACTGATATTTTAGACATGTTCTTCCAGCTGTTTGGCAACAGTTTGTGTTTGGCCCTTTCCTGTATCAAAATGGCTCAAAACTACTAGCGCCACGTTTAAATAATTAAAAGGTTCACTCATTTTGTGTGGAAGAGCTTGACTGACCACAGAGTCCTGACCTCAACCCCATCCAACACTTTGGAGGCCTTGGAGATCATAGCGGCAGATTAATGACCATGGTTTTGGAATCACATGTTCAACTATCACTTATGGCTGAAATGTGCAGGTGTCCACAGACTTTTGGCCATGTAGTATGTTAATGGTTGATTCAAAACAAACATTTTGAAACTGGTGATCGATTCTATGGATAATAAGTGAAGATTTTAAGACTGAATACATGATTAAATGACTTCAGGTGGTTGGGTTTAGCAGTGTAGTAGCTGTACAGCTGGTTTTCAGCAGTAGTTAGACTCAATAGTTTTTACCTGTACTGGAATGGTAGATCTCTGTCAATCAGGTGAATGGGTCCCTCAGGTGCTGCAGGCTGGTGATTGGTCCGTGATGATTCTGAGCCCTGTGTAGGACATTATAATTGATGCTAGTTGTCCAATCCGACTGTAGTATTTAGCCTGGTACTTGTAGTTAGAGACATACATGCATTGTGGTGCTTTGTTCTCGCTCTGCCTCCGTTTTTACTTCTCTTTTATCTGTCCATCATTACAATTTCACCCCCCCCTGTGCTTCTCTGAGTTTTTTAGTCCATCCAGCTTCTTGGTAGAGACGTCCTGCTCTGCTGCTTGTACTCTCAGACAGTAAATAAGAGACACCTCATCTCCATTTTACAGGCTGCTGTGAAATCCAGTGGACATGTTTGCAATGACCAGCTGCTCCCTAAAGCTTGTAAAAAAACATATCACTAAAAGTCTGCAGCGTGCAGGGTCTCCCACCAGAACTGATGGAGTAGTAGAAATAAATTCTTTTGACGGCTCAGTAGCATTTACTAACAAATACTGGAGGGACACCTAGTGGCCAATGTGAAGCATGGCAGGAGCGCTGAGAGCCCTAAAATACCTTGTCATAGAATAAATGACCAAACAAGCTTCTGTTTGGGACATTTAAATAAATAACTCAACACACTGTGTGTCTGCTGTTGGGGAAAATCACACTTGTTTGACAAAATCAGGTCAGTCTCCCTCTTTTTCATGATTGCTGAATAAAAAGTTATTTTCAATATAAAGCTTTTATCATGGAAATGCAGCAAAATAATCCATAATTTAAATTTGAAAAGAACATTGAATCACTCTTTGTATTTTTTGAGGGGACAGAGGATGTCGTACGCTTGACAGATTTTAAAGCCCCTTGAGCAAATTTGTGATATTGGTCTGTATGACTAAAACGACCCTAGTTTAGTGCAGAGGAGATCAGCTGAGCATGCAGATATGTCAAGCTTAGAATTCAACTTATAGGGAGAAAACACTTCCAATGTTAAGTTTATTTTACTTGGAAGGAATCCCTCAGTTTTTGTTGTCATTAGGATTTTAACAGTTCTTCTTCAACTTAAAAGCACTACGACTCACTAAACTCACACATGTTGCTCGACTTCCCTTTCCAATAAACTTATTTTGGACATTACAGACTTCAACATGACAAGAACTTTGTTACTTAAGTTATTTGTTTCACAAACAATGATGTTTTAAATGTAGTACATGTTTTTGGCTAACATGAGTTTTGTGGGGGGGGGGGTTCCTTCTGTATGTGGTGAGGTGTCAGACTGCAGGCACACAGATGTGTTGAAAGTGTAAAATGGTGAACAACAGAAACATATTCTCCTGCAGCTTATTCTGATTCGGAACGATCCCATTCAGCAAGAAAACAAATCGTAATGACTGCGCCTTCCTCCTCTGCTGCTGTTATCTGTCAGGCAGCACAGGCCTCCTGATTATTTTACACCGTCTAATTGGATTTTTACCTTAACTCAATTAGCTCCACCCGCTCGATTCATCTCCTGCTATGTGGCACAATAGTTCCATTATATGTGTGAAATAGCACGTGTCAGATTGAGAATGAAGTATTTTTTTCTCTTTCTGTGTCTGTCTTTGCCCTCGTCTTCGTCTGCAGAGAGGCAGTTCTACCGGATTTCTTTTGTGGTGGATGACAGGGGCGCGACGCTGACCCTGGCTGATGTTGAGCGAGCTGCGGCCCTCTGGGTAAGATGATGTAGCCAACGCTGCACTTCACAGTGGCTTTACTCTGGTGATTTATGCAAGTTCAACCTTTGGTGTCCCACAGAAAGCAGCAAGAAGGGAAAAAGTTTTAGTGTCTGGTGGAACTTCCAAAACAGGAACAGTTTCACCGCTCATAAAAAACATGGACTGAAATCTAGCTGAAAATGTGTTATGGGCCCCAGCTGACCCCCCTCTGGTTATATTATCATTTTCTTAAACACAAATCTGTTTGCACCAAAGGTAGACAAGGTACAGATCCAGCCTTAGCATTAAGAATCGGATCATTTCGTTTTTTGTTTCATCTTCACCAACTAAATTAGAACAAACCAACAGACACACAATAAATCACCGGTCTTTGTGGTCCGGGGCCCGGTGCGGGGTAATGAGGCCTTCACAGGTGCGCAAAACAGTGAGGTTGAGATCGCCGGCAAAGGTTTTCGTCCCTCAAGCTTTTCTCAGTGCCACACAGAGTCAGTATTTTGAGACAATCAGTGAACCAGCCAAGTCAGTTAACTTGAGAGAAGAAGACATTTTAATAAAATGTGGAGTCTTCAAATCATCATATTCAGACCAATGAACATACTGAAAATAACTTTTGTGATAACTTGAGTGATTTCATTGATTTGTTTTCTTCTTACAGCTAAATCAAACGTTTCAGAACTGGAACTATGCAGTCTACATCGACTCCATCAGGTAATCCAGCAAAGGTTCCTGCTTCATTTGTATAACAATGTGTGCGTCGAACACCACTGTTTGCCAATGACTGCTTGTTTTCACCTGCTTTGTCATTCAATTACTTTTCTCAGGTCTTTCTGATGGTCTTCACCAGTTTCAAAAACAGCACTTAACAGGGTTTTTAATCACGTGACAGCCGGTGAAAGGCAGTAGCATCAGTAAAAGATCTGTTGACCCACAAGCTAGCTAGAGATCTTGTCTTGTTGACCTCACAGGTTTATTCTGGTCATGTATAACCGCAGTTAGACATTTTCTTACGTCTTTCTCATTTGTTTCTCTCCAGTGTCCAGCCTGATTTGCAGAGCAGAGGTAACCTGGAGAGGTAAAACATGTTTTTATATTGTCTGTGAAGATGCTCAGTCATCCAGGTCATAGTTATGCAAAGAAGGTTAAAGTCAAGGGCAGCTGGACAGTCGAACCCGCAGAGGTTAAACAGCTGAACCGAGGAAGCGTCTTCAAGTATCCTCAACCAAGTCCAGTTGCCCTTGACTTCAACCTTCCTTGGATGCTGTTATATTGAAAGTGTTTCTCAGTCTGTTATTGTCTGTTCACATCTTTGAGTCTTTCAGCAGCTCATTTGACATCAGTGTCATCTCTTGTCTCCAGTTACACGTGCCAGGCCCTGCTGGTTTATCCTTACGGCAATCGGAGTCTGAGTGAAGCTGATGTTTCTGCCACGCTGTCCAGCAGAGAGGGGCTCATGGGTGCCGGTCTGCAGATCCAGCCCGATTCCACCAATGTCAGATTAATTGGTGAGGAACTATGTAGTGTTATATTCATTTCTTTCATTTAATATACAACAGATCAATGCTTAAAAAAATACATCTCCTGTTTTCTGCCTTCAAATGATTCTCTTGAAGTAACGAACATCAGTAGTCGCTCTGTAGCACAGTAGATGTGCAGCCATGTTATTATCACCCTGTTCAGTCTTTCTGGCTTTGAACACACGCAGATTCTTCCTCTGCATCTCACGTCCACGTCTTTTCTTTTCTGATTTATTCCCTCTGTTGGTTGATTGGGTCCCATTCGTCCTCCGTCTGGAGCTTTGTTACCTGTAGATTTCTGTTGTCCAGTTTCATGCTGCTTGTCTTCTTGTTTGTGTTTTGGGACTCTCCTCGATTCTCGGGATTAGTTTGGCACTCTCGTTCATTTTCTACATTCTGTGACCATTTAAATGTGAAATGACTAAACTAACTATATCTAATAAATAATAGCAAACTGTCCGGGGGAGAGTCTAGTGCACTACAACTGGCCTCAGACCAGACCCACCATCACTCAGTACCTGCCCTGCTTCCCCAACAAGGACCAGATGGCCTCCAGGACCTGGTAACACACACACACACACACACACACACACACACACACACACAGATTTTGTACTAAATCAAGGTTTTTGGTAATATCATTTGTTTGGTTTCCATTAATGTCAGGCTGTCAAGAAAATCCATTTGGAGAGATCAGAGACTTTATTTCGATCAAACGTTTGTTGTTATGATGTGAGGCCTGCACCACGAAGCAGGATTTGAGCTTAGCGAGGTACCTTAGTGGTTAAATCTGGGTTTTTGGGACCACGACGGTGGTTTACTTCTTACTGCAGTAGATCACCGTGGTAACTTACGCTGAATCAGCTCTCTTGGGAAATGACATCTTACTTCGTACTTTTATTGGCCGCTTTTATGTTTGCTGCGGTGAAGTGGAGAAACTTTTCATCCTACAGACACTGATCGGAAGCCTTGTAAGCTACCAATGTAGGTTTTTACAGTAAGCCCACTTACTGCTTTGAAATTTGCTCCCAGTCTGTCACAGCCGTTAAAATAAATGGGTTTCATATTTCTTATGTTATAAGCATACAGTTTGGTAGGCCTATTAAGTTCAACATTTGCTTTAGGTTAGTAGCTATCTTGCAGTAAAGAGACTGCATGTAGCGCCCCGCCTTTTGCGATGTGGGCGCAGGTAACGTGGGATTAATGTCTTTCGACCACCGTTTGAGAACATTTCATGGCATGAATGGATTCTTCGTTTTGTTGCTTTAAGAAGTTAATTTAGACAAATGTTATTCAGGCCCTGAGGCTTTTATTGTGGAAACGCTGACACACAGCCGAGCTGAAAGAGAAGAACACATCAACACATTCATATTATAGGACACGCCTGTTCGTTTAGACATTCACCTTATCGGCAGCTGTCTTACTTATTTATGTCAGATTTGTCTTAACATTCCAGTTTGCTCTTTGTAAAATATGACGCTGTGATGTCAGTAGACTTGTTCATGTCTGTGATTGGTCATCTGCTGCTAACCCTGCCTCTTTTCTGATGAACGCGCTCATGGCTGGATTAGGAAAGCCTGGGTGGACTTACCGAGTTCATAACCAGCTTCGTGTGACCGCTCATCCTGGTCATCGTTAGGGTTAGTGAAGCCAGATAACGAAAACAGATCCTGGGTATGTTGAACTTCATGGTGCAGGGGCCCAGGTCAGGTGTCTCACAGTGGATTTGGAACCGGGTCTCTCACACCCAAGGCATGTGCCGCTGCGCCATCCCCACCCACCACCACTTTTTCTGGTCTTTATCAGTGGACGGAGTTTGCTCACTTGTCGTGGAGATGAATCTGTCAAAATCTAAGCTCAGAAGCTGTACAAAGTTAAACATTGATGTTCATTCTTTAAAAAAGTTTGACAAAACTACAACCTATTCCAGGGTTTCTGTTTGTCTGAAACTAACCAGACCTTCCAGTATTTCTCTGGCAGAGTGAGCAGCGCCGCCTCCTACAGCTTTCCAGATAAACTCTTTTTTTTTTACTCATTTTACATTAATCATAATAAAAGCTTGTGTCTGACTTCGGCTTCCGGGGCAACTTATCATTTAGTATAGAGAACTCTCACGAGCAGGTTTCTGTAAGTTGATTTTCTCTCTAATATTATTCCACTGAGATGAATGGAAAGAAATTGATGACTTGAAGGAACAGTTTTCACCATTTTCCATATTATATTGCTTTTTCCCACAGTGTAGGTTCAGTCGCCATGCATTAACTGACACGTTGCTGTGAGACATACACAAATGGCTTTTCATTGTTCTTTTTAAACACTTTATTGTGCTTTAATAAGAATGCACAAAATATCCAAATGCATGTGTATGAAAATTACTTTTTTAAGAAAGTCAACAGTCATTGTCGTCAGAAATAAAACCTGTTTGCGGCTCTTCATTACACTCGATTGCAAACTGCAGATTTAATCAGGATCAACTTTATCGCTGACATTTCCAGAACAAGACACCCTTGTGATCTAATTTGCTGAGATTTCAGGAGCAGCGTGCACAGCGAGGATCTCTGCAGTAACCATTGACAGTCAAACAATAGCTCCGTTTGCCCTCGCAGAGAGCTAACAGATGGCCAATTTCACTTCTGACAGAACACACTGGCAGCAGGAAGTCCTTATGGAGGCTTGTTTGTCCACAGGGTGGAAGATACTGTGTGAATACAAACTCCAGAGTCTGATGTTCAACTACTATTCTTTTCTTCCCCGTGAGATTTTACACAACCAAAGTTATTAATGCAGTGGACCAGATGTCTGCAGGTCCTTGAAAAACCCTAAAATATCTCAAATAGTGGTTTTATTATTATCCACAGCACTAATTCTTCAGAAAAACAACACAGTCACCACTGCTGCTCTTTCAAGCTCTATTAAAGCGGTTTTATTTTAATGAATGAATGAATGCCAGCCACTTCTATCTAGTCCTTCTTTTCATGGCTGAAACTCAGCTCTACCTATACAGATGCTCTGGTAGGTTGTCAAGTCCTGCCTTGGATTATATACATATACTGTACATATATACAATAAATCAATATGTCATCATGCTCTCTATTTCTCTGTTTGTCAGTTCGATCAGTGCACAGAACTACTCATCCTTCTGGACAACTCCAGACTCCAGTAAATGCACGAACATTGCCAACATCCCGGTGACAGCAGGTACGCTCAGCAACCAGCCTGTTAGATCCTGGTTACACAAGCTGCACACTCACTACTTTACACTGTAGCAAAGAGTCATTTCTTCAGTGTTGTCACATGGAAAGATAGAATCAAGTATTTACAAAAATGTGAGGGGTGGGATACTGTAAATACAACAGAAACCCAGGACTCTCCCGGACAATGCAGTGATCATATAGTTTTACGTTTGGACCACCACTTTCGGTTACATCACATTTGTTTGAGAAATCGTGTTTCAGCCATCATTTTGGCTTTAAATGCAGCAATACCCATGAGCCTCAGCGGCCTTTGTCTTGGAGAAAAATCCAGTCAGAGGTGTGTTTTACTCGTAGGTAACTTATCTCAAAAATTAGTTTGTGCACGAGCTTGTAGCGTCGACCTTTTATCAAAGAACCAGATGTTTTCTGATGCAGTTGTTCCTATTTTTAACCAGATCAAGCCGATCCAAGCCGTAGAATCTCCAAACCACGGCACTTAGCAGTCGGTGGGATATATCCAGTGGTGGAAGAAGTACTAAATTTTCATACTTAAGTGAAAGTACAGATACCACATGAAAAATGTTACTCGAGTAAAAGTAAAAGTCATCCAGTATAAACCTACTTGAGTAAAAGTAAAATAAGTACCTGGTTTTAAGTAATCAAAAGTAAAAAGAACTACACATTCAAATCTATTGATCTTACAAAAAGCAATCAGTCTTTTTAAATTCACTCAAGACAGGTTTGAGTTCAGCAGTGTAAGTTACAGAGAATCACAATAAGGAAGAGGATATTTCCTATACTGCGGGAGGATTAGCCCACGTTATTGCTCTGCTGTTGTGTCCAGAACACGCAGACTCCACACAGAAAGGCCGGGACGACCGGGGTTTGACCCCGCGACCTTCTTGCTGTGAGGCTGTCCACTGGACCACCGTGCTGCCCAATTATAGATATTTTCTATATATTAATGTTATCAGCTGCATCAGGCCTATTCAAACTGGCTCCTCCAGGTTTCCTTCATTACATTTTCATATATAAAACAGTATTTATAAAATGACAGGGCTCGATATCTGATTATTTACTGAGATGTGCATCCATACTGAAAGTTTACTTTCATGTACGCGCATATGAACGCATTTCCACGTGCAATGCAGTATAATTTCCCGAGCTACAGTTTATAAATTGTGGCCCGTCGGCGTTTATCAAACGTAATCAAAAGTTGCATTTGACATGCGACCCAGACAGACAAGAGACGCGCTGCTCAGCTGCACATTAACTTAACATTACTGTTATCTGCTGACAGACTTTGAGAGGAGAGAACACGTTTAATAATAATAATCTTTATTTGTAGAGCACTTTTCAAAAACAAGTTACAAAGTGCTTTAAGTGTAAAGACAATAATACCCAAGAGACAATAATAAAAAAACAATAACAAGATAAAAGCATGAAAACATTGAAAATACTAAAATACACGTTTGTGTAAAATACAATAAAATAAAAGGGATAAAATAAAGTCAAATAAGATCGGGAAAGGCTCTCCTATAAAAGTATGTTTTAAGAAGGGACTTAAGAGTTCACTGACTCAGCCGACCTGATTTCCTCGGGCAGGCTGTTCCAGAGCCTCGGGGCCCTGACAGCAAACGCTCTGTCCCCTTTAGTTTTCAGTCGAGACTCTGGAACAGACAACAGACCTCTGCCCGAGGATCTCAAGGTACGTGCTGGTGCGTATGGGACTAAAAGGTCAGAAATATAACAAGGCGAGAGGCCATGAAGAGCTTTAAAAGTGATCAATAGAATTTTAAAGTCAATTCTAAAACATACTGGGAGCCAGTGTAATGAAGCTAAAATAGGAGTAATGTGGTCATATTTCTTTGTTCTGGTTAAAAGCCTGGCAGCTGAGTTCTGGACAGTCTGGAGTCGATCAATAGATTTTTGGGTTAAACAGGTGAAAAGGCTGTTGCAATAATCCAGGCGTGATGAGATGAAGGCGTGTAAAATGGTCTCGGTGTCCTTAAAAGTTAACATAGATCGAATTTTTGCTATATTTCTAAGTTGATAAAAACATGATTGAACAAGCTTTGTGGTGTGCTGCTCGAAATTTAAATTACTATCAAACCAAACACCAAGGTTCTTTGCCACAGGCTTAATGTGATTTACTAGGGAACCAGCAGATGGCAGTATTTGATTTGCCATCTGCAATCAATGGGGCCCAACAGAATCCATTACTTTCAGTAGAAACTTTGTAGGTATTACATCAAGTGGGCTGGAGGACACTCTCATTTGTCATACTGTTTGTAAAAGCTCAGACAAGTCGATGGGATAAAACTGGTTAAAACTGTCTTGTTGCTGGTGCTGGTTTACCTGACTGATGTTCCCACAGTTCCCTCTCATTGAGTTCTGCCCGAGAGTGACTTGATTATTATCACTGTGTGTGCCGGGCTCGCATCTTACAGGACTTGAAGGAGCCTAGAGATCCACTTAGATACTAACAGAAGAGATACATGCTGAACTCAACATGACAGATCCTGAATCCTGCTGACTCGTGTGTCTCGTGTGTTTGTTTGAGCAGAAAACGCGGCCGACGTGGCGCAGCAGCTCGTCAACATCACCGACAACGAGTTGTCCAACGAAGAGGTGGGAGTCCACGCTGCTCTCTCCTCAGCTGCTCAGAGATGCTGCGAGACGCGTCACTAAACTCTCCTCCTCTTCCTCCTCCTCCTCCTCCTCCTCCTCTCTGCAGGTGTCCAAAGTGGTGGCCAAGGTGAATCAGCTGGTGAACGTGGCGAAGATCAACACCACGCTGGCCTCCACCGTCGTCAAGATCATCTCCAACGTCATGACCAGCTCAGAGACAGCTCTGTCCAACACCTCCAAGGAGTAGGGTCACTTAACTGTACTCTACTGACCTCTACTGTACTCTACTGTACTCTACTGACCTCTACTGTACTCTACTGTACTCTACTGTACTCTACTGTACTCTGCTGTACTCTACTGTACTCTACTGACCTCTACTGTACTCTACTGTACTCTACTGACCTCTGCTGTACTCTACTGTACTCTGCTGTACTCTACTGACCTCTACTGTACTCTACTGACCTCTGCTGTACTCTACTGTACTCTACTGACCTCTGCTGTACTCTACTGACCTCTGCTGTACTCTACTGTACTCTACTGTACTCTACTGACCTCTGCTGTACTCTACTGTACTCTACTGACCTCTACTGTACTCTACTGACCTCTACTGTACTCTACTGACCTCTGCTGTACTCTACTGTACTCTACTGACCTCTGCTGTACTCTACTGTACTCTACTGTACTCTACTGACCTCTGCTGTACTCTACTGTACTCTACTGACCTCTGCTGTACTCTACTGTACTCTACTGTACTCTACTGACCTCTGCTGTACTCTACTGTACTCTACTGACCTCTACTGTACTCTACTGTACTCTACTGACCTCTGCTGTACTCTACTGTACTCTACTGTACTCTACTGACCTCTACTGTACTCTACTGACCTCTGCTGTACTCTACTGTACTCTACTGTACTCTACTGACCTCTACTGTACTCTACTAACCTCTGCTGTACTCTACTGTGCTCTACTGACCTCTACTGACCTCTGCTGTACTCTACTGTACTCTACTGACCTCTGCTGTACTCTACTGTACTCTACTGACCTCTGCTGTACTCTACTGTACTCTACTGTACTCTACTGACCTCTACTGTACTCTACTAACCTCTGCTGTACTCTACTGTACTCTACTGTGCTCTACTGACCTCTACTGACCTCTGCTGTACTCTACTATACTCTACTGTACTCTACTGTACTCTACTGACCTCTACTGTACTCTACTATACTCTACTGTACTCTACTGACCTCTACTGACCTCTGCTGTACTCTACTGTACTCTACTATACTCTACTGACCTCTGCTATACTCTACTGACCTCTGCTGTACTCTACTGACCTCTGCTGTACTCTGCTGTACTCTACTAACCTCTGCTGTACTCTACTGTACTCTACTATACTCTACTGACCTCTGCTATACTCTACTGACCTCTGCTGTACTCTACTGTACTCTACTATACTCTACTGACCTCTGCTGTACTCTACTGACCTCTGCTGTACTCTACTAACCTCTGCTGTACTCTACTGTACTCTACTATACTCTACTGTACTCTACTATACTCTACTGTACTCTACTGACCTCTACTGACCTCTGCTGTACTCTACTGTACTCTACTATACTCTACTGACCTCTGCTATACTCTACTGACCTCTGCTGTACTCTACTGACCTCTGCTGTACTCTGCTGTACTCTACTAACCTCTGCTGTACTCTACTGTACTCTACTATACTCTACTGACCTCTGCTATACTCTACTGACCTCTGCTGTACTCTACTAACCTCTGCTGTACTCTACTGTACTCTACTGACCTCTATTGTGCTTTGTTACTTGTTATCTGTTTTGTGATTGGCCAATTCTGTGGTTTTTTGGTTATTATTATACTCTCTTGTTGTCACGGGGATTTTCATTTCCTCACACTGGTTAACAGAAGTCATTTCCCCCCTCAGAGCCCTGAAGACGGTGGATGAGTTGGTTGAGAAGCTGGAGTTTGATGGCCCGTCGGTCAGCATCACCTCCAAACATCTGGCTTTGGGAATATCGGCCCTCAACGCCTCCACGTTCAACGGGACCACCTTCAGCGCCTTCCTCGCTCCAGACAGCACCAACCCACAGGTAACAGCGGGAGGCCCAGGAAGCAGCTTCACTTTATTGTGAAGGAAGCTTTCTCTTGTTTCTGAAAGTGTTTCTTTCTGTCTGTGGATTGCTGATTGTTCCTCTCCTTCTCTTTTTCCTCTCCCAGATTGAGTTTCAATCAGAGAGGGTTAACCCTTTGTCTCAGATCACCCTCCCTCGGTCCCTGCTGTCCAGCGGCTCCCTGAGCGACGCCGACCGATCGTCTCTGTACAGGATCAACTTCATTTTCTTCAACAGCACCAACCTGTTCCAGGTCAGCCCGGTCTGATTTAACCACGACACCACGAAAAAGCAGAACGTGACCCCGATAAACTCCTGAGAAGCGTTGTTTACTGATTATGTCGGCTGGTTTTTCAGAAAAAGCAGGGCAGCCGCTCTTTAAACAGCTACGTGGTAGCCAGCAGTGTCCAGAACGTCTCCATCAGTAACCTGCAGCAGCCAGTGAAGATTGAGATCGCTCACCTTGACACCAACATTGAGCAGGTACAGATCAATATGTGTGGCTCCGGCTGAGGGTCAGGTGTCCAGGTGTTTCATTAAAGAATACATTTTATTTTCTCTTTTTCCCTATTTATATTTTCTCCAAGCATTTATCTTTTTCTTATTTTTTAAATGTACATTATATATTTAATAATTAATTCAGCCTGTTGCTGCTGCGTAACATGTAACATAGCATTTTGGTGGGGGTGGGTTTGGTGTTTTGGTAAATGTAAATGCTCCGTACTTGTATAGCGCCTTTCTAGTCTTTTCGACCACTCAAAGCGCTTTTACACTACATCTGCATTCACCAGTCACACACATTCATACACTGAGCCTAAGTGCTCAAACGGAAACTAACATTCACACTCAACACTTGTAGACTCAAAGTACAGGTGTTTGAATTTTTCCACCCGAATGTAATTCCTGGCAGTGTGGAGAAGGTTTTGAAAAGGTCACAGAGCAAAAGTTAACGTTGTGCTTTGCTTTTCTAAAAGGGGGGTCGGGTTGTGCTGGGGGGGGGCTGAAAAGATAACTCAAGTAACATCTTGCTGAAAACATTAATTTTTGATAAATTGCATTCTTCTTCCCCGACAGCAATACCTGAATCCAGTTTGTATGTTCTGGGACTTCAGCATGAACAGTAAGTCTGTCCATCGTCACATCATTTTAAACCTCAGGTTCAGTACAGGTTCTCCGATCTACAGGGAGACATTTATGTCTTTACCAAGAAACAAAACATACCTCAAGTGTTCTGAGAAAAATTTCTCATCTATTAGTTTCACCACGGGGATTCTGTCAGTTAGAAACTCTGTGGTCGAGCAAGTTCTTAAATGACCCTTCCTTTTGATTTATCTATCTGTGGTTCAGGCCTGTGCATGCAGATAAACCCCACATATGTGGGAAAAAACATTTTGTGCATTTAAGCAGACCACCAGAGTCAAGTATGAAAGCCAGACAGCAAGCAGCTTTAAAATCAAATAACCAACCAAGTCCAGAGAACAAAACAGTGCCAATTAAAAAACATTTTTAATGCTGCTAGGGTCATGATCAATTATTCAGAAAAGCAGAAATACGATCACATTCTCTCCCTGGGTCGGCACATGCCAGCTTCTGCATTGTGACTATCTGCTTCTGTCTGTATGACTGAAGCTGTGGGCCTCAGTTGACTGAAGTGATGTTGAGTTGATATACTGAGAAGGTCAGCGGGCCTCAAATCTAGAGACTATTTAAGAAGTGACAGTTAAAGTCAAAGATGTCCCGGCACCTTCGTCTAATATCAGCTCATACTGAGTTTGATCTGAAATCCTTTTTTGTTCCACATGTGTTTATTTCTTCCCTACATAGTACAGCTGCCCAGTTCATACCTCAGCTAACATACATAAAAATTACAAATGGCTCTGGAAGCCGCTGCACAAACAGTTCCCAGATGATATTTTAAAATAACTGTTCAGAGGTAGAAAGCAAGCAGGAGTCCAAATTCAACTCTATATAAATCCAAAGGAGGTTGTGGTGGTGAAAAACATTTATTTTCAGTAGTTGAAACCTGAAAACTTCTGAATGTTCCCGGCACAGAGGTGATTGCAATGTACGTTAATACTTCTGTGCTGCCACTAGATGGTGCTGGAGGTTGGAACGAAACGGGCTGCCGTGTGTCCAACGAATCCACCAGAAACAGAACCATCTGTCTCTGTGACCACCTGACACACTTCGGCATCCTCATGGTAAGACTGTGTGGCAGATCATGCTGACGTGAAACAGAAGCTGCTGTGTTTTGGAGGAAAGAACCAGACTTCAGTTTGAAGGTCACTCCCTGTTAGGTTAAAATAACCAGTCCTTCTTTACACAATGACCTGTGACCATGGACTATGACCTGGGTGACTGAGAACCCCCACAGACATCCCTGTTGGGTGTTTTTACTTCCTAAAAAGAGTTTTCAGGGACCAGTTATGGATCAGATGCTGCACAGAGCTCATGCTTCAAACATCATGAGCAACATGTGGATTTATTTATGAGATGTGTTGTTCAGGTTTTGTTTAGTGCTGTGAAGTAACAACATTTACTCAAGTACAATGTTGATGAACTTTACTTGAGTATGTCAGTTTTAAGCTACTTTACTTCAAGTTTTTACACAGAAAACATGTTATTAGTTTAAAAAATGAAACTACCAAATAGTAACTAAAATATAACTATGGTGTTCAAAATTAGCTCCACCTTCAACAGATTCAACATTAATATTAATGTTATAGTAATAATAATCAGATAATATCGTGCATATGATGCAGCATCATACAGAGACAGGCTGCTGCCTAAGGAGTACTTTGCTACTGCTTTTATAACATTTTGAATGCAGGACTTTTACTTCTACCAGAGTATTTTTACAGTGTGATGTTACTTCCACTTAAGGAAACTATGAAAATACTTCTTCCTCATGATGTTATCGTGCTTGGCATCGCTCTGTCTCCGTCTCCAGGACTTTTCTGGAGCGTCACTCCACATAGACGCGAAGAACAACGAGATTCTGACCTTCATCACCTACATCGGCTGCGGCATCTCCGCCATCTTCTCTGCTGTCACGCTGGTCACCTACATCGCCTTCGAGTGAGTCACGTTTAGTCGTTTGATGGATTCTTAATGTAAAAATTGATTGATTGGAGCAGCTTTGACCGGATGCTTTGGACTGCCTAAACAAGTGGATATTGATTAAGAAACTAATTCAACACTTTGTACGTACTGTACATTTGCTGAGTTGTTGACGTCATACACGTAGAAACACGGTGGGCAAGTTATTTATTAGCAGTATTTGCAGTACAAGCAGTATTTTTGTGGTTTCAGGTAGTTTACTGGTGCAGTTACAAACATCACTTTGTAAGAGAAACCTTCAAACTGTTGCATCATACCTGGATGGCAATGACAATCCAACACATTCCGACTTTAGAGCACATGAACACATCCAAGTCGGAAGAAAGACTTCACAACTTGGGAAATGGCAGGAGGAGCACGTGAATGCACAGTTGAACTGGAATCACGCTTCTCCGGGTTGCACATAAGTGAACGTACACTGGTGTCGCTCGGACACGCTGATGTGTGTTTACTTTACCCTTGTGCCCATCGGGGGTGTAACGCGATGTACACGTGTGAACTAGGAGGCGGTGTCGCGTTATCAAACCACGATGTAAAGAAAAAACAGAAGAAATCAGTTTTATCCCAGTGACAGTGTCAACAAACCACTACATCAGTGAAAGACTTTCAATTTCTGAACATAAATGGACGGGACAAACATCCTGTACTTTCTGTGTTCTTTGCTAAATGGGATGTAAATTCAATTACTAGATGTGTGTATGTCCATATTTTACCTCAAAAAGTTTTACCAGGAAAGCAGAATTTGTGAATTGGTGCTGAAGTTTAAAACCTTTGATCACTGGGAACGATCTGTAGCAGGACACGTCTGTGAGAACATCAGCAGTGCCATGTGGCGAGGCTTTGGGCAAGAAACTTAACCAAACAATTTGGTTTGTGGTTTGGATGGCTGGCTGTGAATATGTGGAACTGAAAGTGAGCAAATCGAGTTCTAAATCCTATTTCAACATCATGCCACAACTCTTTTCACAGAAAACTACGCCGTGACTACCCTTCCAAGATCCTGATGAACCTCAGCACGTCCTTGTTGTTCCTGAACATGGTCTTCCTGTTAGACGGCTGGCTAGCCAGCCGGGGAATGGACTGGCTGTGTAAGTGTGTGGCCGCCCTGCTGCACTACTTCCTGCTGACCTCCTTCACCTGGATGGGGTTGGAGTCCATCCACATGTACATCGCTCTGGTCAAAGTCTTCAACACCTACATACGACGATACATCCTCAAGTTCTGCATCGTGGGATGGGGTGAGTGACCGTGACGTTTCGAGTGGAAGCACTGAATAAAGTTGAGGTTCCAAATTGAGTTGAAGCTACAGTGAAGGTGCTGAAAGAAATGAGCTGTAGGTCAAAGCGGTCTTAAGTCTGCACACCTTAACTTTGTGGTACTGGAAGATGGATTTTCGAATCTTCATTAGTACCCAGAAATAAAACATGGTGGACGTCTTCTCAGATAATTGGTTTGTTTTGGGACTGATCGGAGTGAACATGCTGGGAAAGAGTTTAGGATTTTGCCTTCAAGTCTTACATAATTACTTTTTTGCCCAGGTTTTCACCCCTGACACTTGAACTGCTTTGTTTGTTGGCCAAACCCTTTACAAAGGATCCTTTATTCAGGGAGCTCTCTGTCCCACTGCCAGCTGTGATGTTTGATCATGTTTAATGAGTCATATAAATTTGATAACTGGGCGTGCCGATAATTGGCTCGGCAGCAACAAAGAGTCAGGAAAGGACGAGGCTGATGTTCGCCTGCCGATTGTGTGCTTTGTTGCAGGGCTCCCTGCCCTCATGGTGGGGATTGTTGTTGCGGTGGATCGAGACATTTACGGCCCAGAAAAGCCAACAAATGGATCCTCAGAGTTGTAAGTAACCACACAATCAATTACAATAATAATTTAATAGAGTACAAAGGCCAGTCTGATCTGTCGGCGCCGTCACTGCTGATCTGGAGCACGATGTTCTGGTACTTTTTATGGAAAACGATATACTGATGGAACTCAAAACACAGAGAAGCTACAGCACAGTCAAACACAGGATGTAATGTGCGGGGTCATCATTTCACTTGAGAATACGACAGACAAACTGTTATTTTTGGCCTCAGCGATGCATGTAAATGCTTTGTGTTCCAGTAAACTACACTGACACACAATGTTTTATTGCTTATTAAACAAATGCAATATTCATTTTCTGGTCAGTAACTTTATATTTTGAAGCAAACTTGCCGTCCATCATCCAATCTGATCTGTCGGCGCCGTCACTGCTGCTCTGGAGTCAGATGTTGCAGGATCTACTTTCTATCTTTTTCTCTGAAAAATCAATACGACTGATGGGGGGAACCGTTTAAAGTCAGAGTGACCGGAATCATTTTAATTTACCTACAATGTGGTCAGTGTTTATCAGGGATGTAAGCTGCTGGAAAAAACTTCAGTGTACTAAAGTGCATGTGCTTAAAAGTTTAAATAAAGGTCATAATAATCTCTCAAATCTTACACGAGGCTTACAGGAGTGTAACACCGAGAGAAGCAAAGAAATGCAGTTCATTAACACACACGGTTCAGAGTTTGTGTGTTTGTGTCCTCTCTCCCCAGCTGCTGGATCCAGAATAAAAGCGTCCTCTACACCACCTGCGTCGGTTACTTCTGTCTGGTGTTTCTGCTGAACGTGGCCATGTTCATCGTGGTGATGAGGCAGATCTGCGGCCGCAACGGCAAACGCAGCAACCGCACGCTGAAGGAGGAGGTCTGTATCCAAGCTCACGTCATCGCATGATGATAAAGCTACGTGCACCTTTTCCTTATCCCAGCAGTCAGTCCGCACGAGTGTCAAGGGAGTGAGATGCACAGCTGTAGTTAGCATGAGCAGCAGTAGCCACAGTAGGCTGACAGACAAAGCAGAACACAGAAATGCCCCAGCAATGACTATTTTAAATTCCACCTTTGTTTAACCAGGACTGTTTCGTGAGGAGCTCAAAAGACGTGACAGATGTAATTCACTTCAAAGAGACTAAAGAGACTGGAGCTCATTTATTGATTTGCAGCCTTTAACAGAACGTCAGCTGTCCTCCAGCTGAGAAGCGCCTGATTCAGCTGCAAACTGCTTTTTCAACCAGACGTTTTATTTACTTGTACTCGCCTCTGATCGAAACATGCTCTTTGAAATGCTCTCGGGATCTCTTTCTCGAGATCTAATGGCTGACGTAGAGGCACAATAAAGCTACAGCGCCAACCTTCTCAGAGGGAAGGAGAGTCAGGAAGGGAAAACTTTTAAACCGCTGAAGTTTCAAGCATGTTACAAAATCACAATCTACAGCAAAGCTAAAGATGTTAAAAGAGTGAAAAGTAAATGGACACACTCATCTGTTGTGATCCAGGTTCTACGAAACCTGCGGAGCGTCGTCAGCCTCACCTTCCTGCTCGGCATGACGTGGGGCTTCGCTCTGTTCACCTGGGGATCCTTCAGCCTGGTCTTCACGTACCTCTTCTCCATCTTCAACTCGCTGCAAGGTAACAACAGAGGCAGTTATTTAGTCAGACAAGAACCACTCGTACGATCAATCTTTTCCCACCTCAACAGCTTCCTCCGGGTCTTTCTGATGGTCTCTGCCCAGGAGAACATCCTCCGTTAAAACTCATCATCCTCACCTGCAATGAAACCGTCTCGTCCAGCTCCGTGACCACCTTTTTTAGTCATGGATGGTTTTTGGCATGTAACTCAAACAATTCCTTCTTTATTTCTGTCATAATACCAGGTCTAGGATGCTACAGCATTAAAAGATTCATATCTTAATTAACAATTTCTCGTTTTTTCCAGCTCCCTTAATACCACTGTTTACACTGCAGGGCTTCTTTTAACTCTCTGTGATACATTCGTGATTTACAGGTGCAATTTTAATATGGTGGAAAACTTTATTGTGAGCAGCAAAACCAGACAGAGAGATTAAAGGGATTGAATATTTCACAGGAAAATGAAGAGGTTTAGATGAAGAATACGACTCGTATAAGGCCCAGTGTGTTTTTGTCACCTTCTCATGCGTTGGCCCAGTGGACAGTCAGGTGTTATAAACAAGGGGACAAAGTCAAACTCACCTTTTTCTTTCTTTCGTCAGGTCTGTTCATATTTATCTTCCACTGTGCCTTGAAAGAAAACGTCCAGAAACAGTGGAGGAGATACCTCTGCTATGGCCGATTCAGGCTGTCCGACAACTCAGGTACCTGTCTGTCTACCTGTCTGTCTCTCTGTTTGTTTGTCTCAAAGCCCAGTCACATCTCTCTCCACGGGAGTCCTGTCAGACCTGTCTGCTGGACTCCTGCCAGATTCCCACAGCAGCGGGAAAAAAAGGACAAGGCACTTTATTAAAATATAAAACCTAAGCCCGCTCGGCTTTGCAGCTAATAAAAACAGATAAAACAGAGTTGTCTCTGGAAGACCAGGAAGTCCTCCAGGTGCGCTTAGTCTGTGGATGTGCTGTACTGCTGACGTTTCATTTATTGTGCACATGCATTGTCGTACCAAAAATTCCAAGTTAAGTTGATTTTGGTGCAAAAGCCTGTGAAATGGCATTTAGCCATTAAATTCCTCACTGAAACCAGGATCATAGTAAGACGAAAACACAGAGAGTTCATGTCCACGCATACTTTATGTATGCATGTAATTATGCATGCAGGAAACTAAGCGATATCCTTTTTCTCCGAGGTAGATGATAATTATTAACTTTTGTTAGTGCTGGACTGCATAGCAGGGACGACTGTTTAGGTCAAATGTGCTTTTATATCAATAAAAATCCAACTCCAAAACTACATAATACCCACCTGTGTGCAATGCATTTGTGAAAGGCGTAACTGAGTTTGCTTGTGATTTCAGCCTGAAGCTGATATTCTAACCTGAAACTCTTTGGACAGTCCTGAATTACGAGCAGTTGTCGCCGCAGTTTTAATCACCTGCTGCAGAGCTTCTTGTCTTATTTTAGCATGCTGATGTCAGCTCATAGTCTCTCTTAGTCTTGTTTATATGCTAGCGCATTTATGGTTCATCATGAAGGTTCGAATTCATTCATCAGGCATTTTCGTGCCTCTGTTTGAGAGAGGTAGGACAGCGGATAGCATCTGGAAACAGGGTAGAGAGAGGGGGGAAGGTGTGAAGCAAAGGGCCACAGGCTGAACTCAAACCCTGGCCACTGCAGTAAGGGCCCAGCCTTGTGCGTGGGGTGTACGCTGTACCAGGTGAGCTAACTGCGCCCCAGGACTCCAGCTCTTTATGGTAAAACAATAACAGTAATGTAATACATTTACCCAAAGCAACTTACAATTGCTCTACATGTCAGAGGTCGCACGCCTCTGGAGCAACGAGGGGTTAAGTGTCTCGCTCAGGGACACAATGATGGATGGGTCACAGTGGGGAATTGAACCCGGGTCTCTCACACCAAAGGCATAGTCTTATCCATTGCACCATCGCCACCCCTGTAGTGCACACTTACAAACAATCTCTGAAAGAAGTGTGAACAGTGTGCCGAGGGCGCCTGACACCGTCTGACCCCACAATGTCCTGGAGCTGCAAGCCACAAACCCATCAGTCCGCACACCACAGCCATGAAATAAACGTATGCACATCTGTTCTGTATTATTAATGTCTGCTGTGTGATGATCCATGACAACATCCCGGGGTGTAGACGGGGAAGAGGATTGGAAAAGAAAGTGAGGGGAATGAATAAGATGGAGGAAAGTCAAACAATGGGGGACAAAGGTGGAAAGAATGAGGGAGTCAGGAAAAGGTCAAGAGAAGGTGAAAAGGTGAAAGAAAAGATTAGAAGTGGGGGAAGGAAGGAAGGAAGAAGTCCAACATGAAACAAAGCATCCGTGTTCCTGAATGATCGGAAAAGGAGGCCACCACTCTGATGGTGAAACGAGGTGTAGTGAGTGATTAACGCCTTTGTCTCTCTCTCGCGGCAGACTGGAGTAAGACGGCCACCAACAACACAAAGAAGGTGAGCTCAGACAACCTGGGCAAGTCTCTGTCCTCCGGCTCCTTCAGCTCCAGCACCGCCAACTGGACCTCCAAAGCTAAAGCTACTCTCAGCCCCATCACCAAACGCCACAGTAACACAGGTGAGGCACACACACACACACACACACACAGAAACACACACACAAAACATGAATGATCTCACTAGACCGAGGTCTGGGTTTGAAAAACATGAAACCTGATGTGTAGATTTCTCCAGCGCGTGCACTTTTTCTTTTTCAGTGTTTAATAATACTCATTCATGAAGGAAGGTTCACTGAGGACGTAGCTCACCTTGTTCTATCAGGATTATCACTGAAAATGTGACTTTATAAAAACCCTCTGATGAGCAGGAATCACGTTTACATGCAGACTCATGATATTTTGGATGTTACGTTTTGTAGGTAAATTTGAAAAAACGAACTAATTATGTTCTTGAGCCCCTTTTTCATTTACATTTTGGCAAATTGGCACCATTACAGGAGGTGCAGACAGCTATCACTGGATTACCGTGGTGCTGAAGAAAACTTTAAAACTCTCAGGCAGCTTCTGCAGCTATAAGCGCCGTCATTTAGTCAAGATATATAAGCGGGTTTATAGATATTTATTCACGATGGACATTATGATATTTTCAGAGAATCATTTTAAATCTAAAAATATGTATATAATGTGAAGTTTGACATAAATTGCAGCGACTGGGCTCAAAGGGTTTAAATTACCTTATTTTCCTTTCACCTCAGGCGCTATCTGTGCTTGATGTGACGTCTCTCCCCCTCAAGTCTGAAACCTCTGGTATTCTAAACGTCATGTCTCATTTCTTGTGGGCTGCTGAGCAGCTCCATAAAACGTTGTAATACATCCATGCTGTTTGAGGAACTGACTAAATGTTTCAGCTCTAGAGGGAACACAAAAGTAGCTCACAGACTTGGTGAAGGTTAGTGAGGATTACGGTGTGGGTTAAAATCTAAACTGCCTGGTTAGAGGACGATGTTGGTTAGGGTAAACAGAAACTAGTGTAGACAGGAAACGAACAGCCTCTCTGACCGCTTCACACTTCATCCACCTTTGTTCCTGACATACTGGACTCCCACCGGCTCAGACTTCAACAGGTTTTCATTGAGCTGAATAACGAGTCTGCATGTGAACATAATTCCTTCTGAAGTTTAGCTTCTTCGTCTATGCAATCATTTCAGGTTTGTCACTGTTACTATGGACGATTCTGTAATATCTCTTCACATGTGAAGTTCATGTATCTACTTCTGTGTTTGGTGTGTAGAAAGCTCTTCCAACCAATAGCAGGAGTGGAGGACCGACGGAGGTAAAGCTAAAGCTGATTGACTTCCTGCTTCCAGCATCGTGTGATGCGTTTCCCAAAATATTTGTGGTAAAAGTGGATCTGGAGATTCAAATCTAACATGTATGTTTAATTTTAACTGGACAAAAAGAAAAGACAAAACTCAAACTTTGCTAGCAGACATTTTGGGAAACCTGTGTGTTGTGATTGGCTGGTCACTGTGGTGTCGTACGAGTTCACGCCATCTTGTTTCCAGCCTGAGACACACTGAGTGGGAGGGGGTCCTTATTTTTACCCATTAACACATGACTAAAACTTCAACTCCACCTGCTCAGAGTGCCTCAGGGTGCAAAAACAAGCACGCCGTGACAGATTGCATCCAAGTTAACATCTGCCACTTTTAACTGTGATTTGTTTGTACAGGCTAACGCTGTGGTTCACATTAGACGCAGTAATTGGTGTAATAATTCAGTTTTGGTCATTAAAATGAACACCAAATGTTGAGGATGATATTGGCAAAGAGAGACATGAAGTCAAACACTGTTCTGAGTCCAAATATTACTCGATGTCATAAAATTCCATGGAGACCCAGGAAGTCTCGCTGGGTTTAGTGAGATTTAACATGTGTTCTCTAAATTACAGCACAAAATACAGCATTTTCTAAAAACTCAACTTTACTAAAGGGCTATTTGTCCTGAAACCATTACTCAGTGCATTAATCCAAGAAGGAACTAATGATCTTTCAGCAGTCACACTTGAAAGAGAAGCAGATTTTAGGATGTCTGGGGTTTTTCAGAAAGAACACGGTTTTATTCTAATGGTTTTAGAGGCTCTTTTCTTTCCTCTGTAGTTCATCAGCAGTCAGAAGCTTTTGGATGCGTTTCAGGATCAGTAACAGATTTCATTCACTTCAAACATTAACTGAAATTAAATTGCATGTTTGTTTTGTTGTTTTTGCTTTTTTTGTTACAGCATTTATATCTGCCTTATAAATTATGTGTCTCCTTTTGAGAAACCAATAATAATAATAATAATAATTTAGCCCCTCTTATGCAAATATGCAGCCCAACGTGCTTTAAATTCAAAGACGAGGGAAAAAAATTACATTAATAAAACATTTGATGACAATAATAATACAATAAAAAATAAAAATTACAGCCAGATTACAAAGATATGTCTTTCATTTCTTTTTTTAAATACCAAGAGAGTTAGCTGTTGAGATCCAGGGGAGGGCGTTCCTCAGTTTAGGGCCATAAAAACCGAAGGCAGCCTCATCAAATCTCTTGTGGGAAACTTCTTTAAAAAAGGCAGAGGAAGATCTGTGGGTTCTTGTTAGAACATAAAATGAGAGGCGGTCGCTGATATATGAAGGTTCAGGTTATGTAAGACTTTATAAACAAGTAAAATTACTTTATGTTCAATTCTAAAAGATGCAGGCAGCTGCAGCAGGGACGGGAGCAGAGGGGTAATACGAAACCTTTTTGTTGTCTCTGAAATTAACTTAACCATCTTCAATCAACACTCCTTTTCCACGTTCCACCATCCACTTGACACAATTTAAAAAATCATCGTGCAAGCATTAGGTTTTCAGTTTGACTCGTCTTCCATATTCGATAACAGTTAACAGTAATGTTAACAAACATTTCAAATGAGCGATGTTGCGTTATTGGTTGCATTTGAAGCAAAACGATTTACATGGGGGCTGATTAACCAGGGTAGGGAAGGTCCTAGAACAGCTCCTCTCACCCCTTTCAAAAGACGCACAATTGTTTAGTCCTCCCCTGTAAATGCACTCTTATCCAAATCTCGTCTCCGGGGCCTGGTTATGAAAAATCAACATGGTGACGATCAAAATACCAAACTTGAGGCTTCAAAACATTAGTCCACAAACCAACGAGGGACATCACGGTGACTACGCCCCCTTCTTTTATACTGTCTGTGGTCCGGACGCAGGACCACGCACTCTGCGTTTATACATATAAGCAATTAAATGTGCCATAAACAAACATGGAGGCACAGAAAAACAAAAGAGAATTAAACTCGAGGCTGAGAAGAGGGAATCTGCAGGTTTATCCATTTTATAGAGCCGATACAGCACACACTGGTGACGCTTCCCGCTCAGCTCTCTCAATGTGGGTTTGTGATCGGGGAGCCTCCAATTCAGTCGGCAACCTTAAGATTATGTCTGTAAACCCCTCACACTACAGGGTTATTTGAGATGATAATAAATTCCGACCAGCCTCAGCTCGGGAACTCCCCTACGATTGTCAGGAAGGCAAATCGAACCCAAAATCAGCACGATTTTATTATTACTTATTGGTTTCAGTCAAAAGGAACCTGTAAATGTCAGATACTAAATGGTGTCGTTCTGAACATGCTACCTGTCCAGCTAGCACTGCAGGTCTGTCTCAATGTCCATCTGTACCCCCTGTTGGCTCAGCTGTTAATCAAACATGTGTACCAGCCAAAAGCAGCAACTAATTTCAGTTGGACTTTACTGTGCACAGATGATGTAAAATACTTGTATTTGTTTTAGAGAAAAATCCATCGTAACCTAATTTTCTGTGAGTGTTTCCATATGAAAGGAAAAGCACCAAAACAACACTTCGTCCACCAGAGCAGTAATATGTCATTGACAAATTATTGCTCTGACCACAAGTCTTTTGTTCCCAGAGCCAACAGGGCATTTCAAAAACTTGTATTGCTCATATTTATTTTATTGGCCAGTTATAGAAATGAAAAAAGAGACATGATTTTATTTCTGCCAGTGCTGAATAGCTCTTCATGATACACAGCTGCAAAGGATTTTGTTTGTCTTCTAAGTTTGAATCTCTGACACCGAAGTGCAGCACTGAATACTGGACTTCCCCATCTCACTCAGGCTGTGAGGGTTTCTGCCTGATGACCATATTTAACTACTTACGCTTTACATTTGTGACAGGTTAGGGGTCACTCCTTTCCTCATGTATTACTGTCTCTTTCTGTCCACTTGGAGAGGTGTTGAGTACACACTGAAGCTCCCCTCACTGGTGGGTGATCTGCTGAGATGTTCTTAACTTAACTTAACTGGTTTAAATCTCACATCAAAAAGTATAGAAACATTTATTTGATAATGGATGTGTGTACCAAACTACTAACTTGACACATGTCCACACTCCTACTATTATGAACAGATTTTTGTGGCAGAAATAAGCATAACACAATATTACCATATCGTCACCTTTTAAGCCGACATGTTTCCTTAGCAGCAGCTTATTTCCACCTCCAGCAGCTACAGAGCAACATGAGGTTTCGTGGTGAGGTGTGTTTGTGTCACCTGATGAAGGTGAGTCCAGTTTTCTCTCTGTGTTTGCTCTCTACCTGCTCCTGAGGGAAACATTTAGCATTCAGCCGAGGCTGCGTAGAGCTGAGGGGGTTTCATGCTGCACATTACTATCTAAAAATATAGCTCAGTGTGGCTTCAAGTAAAGGAGCTTAGTTCGTCTTCCACCACTTTTTGGGAAAACAAAAGGAACCTAGATTACTTTTTTTTTAAACATTTTATACAAAACACTCATTTTGTACATATCTGCAAAGATTTCACTGCCAACATTTTTCTACTGGATCCAATATCTGTGCAGTTAAAGGAAAGGCTGTGGCTATAGTTAAATAATGAAAGATGTTGTTTCTGACTGCCAGCCCATACTCATTCCGAGGGAGTCAAATACCTACTGTATGCTTTGTCACGTCCTTTGGCGTCTGCTATGAATGCACATGGCAGCCTTTAGTGTCATAGTTCAACACAAAATGTAGGCCTATCCGGTGTTCATT